AAATCACGTAGACTGGAAAATAATTAATAACACATAATCACTTTAGCAGAGAATTGAGCTTAATAACTTATACTTTATATTTATTAAACGTACAATAACGTGCACAAATGAGATGAATAAAAATAGTACTCCTGAGTAAATTAAGTTTAACGAAGTCTGTGTTAATAAAACGTTCAATTAAATTATGAAATCACAAATAAAAATACAAGAGAGATTTTTTATTTATAAAATAATTATATATATAATAATTATATGTATGCAAATATGTAATATAATAGATTATTTTCCAGTATAAATGTCGAACATATTTTTTTTGTGTTGTGTATATTTATTAGTACATTATTAAATTAAATACATATATCTCTTGCCATATAATTTAAATATAATACATATAATTTAAATATAATACATATTTCATTATGTAAGATAGAAAAATAGAAACTTTATTCTACCTAGATTAATCGCCAAGAAAGATTCAAGTTGATTTATCGATAGTATGCATTCAGCAAAGTAGTAGTTCAAAACAGCTATTCGTCATATTTAATATTTCTATAAATCTTAAATAAATTTTGCAATCTTCATACGAATTATAGTCAGAATCAGGTTTTCATTTAATGCAACAGGTGTTCCAATAGTATTTAAAATATTTCTGGAAATTGTAAGAAATTTATATATCGATATTTATAAAAATGTAAGATACGTCCTTTTCAAGTCCAAAATAGCATTGGCGATACTTGGATATTTATCGATAACGATGCCGATGCCAAATATCTTGAGTCTTGTTCCGCCTCGGCCAATTCTACCTGCAGTGGTGGCTTCTGTTCCGAAAGTGGCGAGTCGCACCCGAGAACGGCAATGGCGGCGACTGGCGGCATCGATGGTATGTGTAGGCAATGGCATGGGGATAGGCCGTAATTGGTATAAAATCATCGAGCAAACACATCGGACAAGACAGCCCGGGGATTGTGGGCGGCGTTGCGTGCCGTCGTCCTGGTTACCACGGGGGCGACTCCGCTAAAGCGGACCCTTCGCCCCCGATTGCGCGCAGGCCCGCCGCCGATACACACCTGCGTGCGTTCGTTTGTGTGCGTGTGTTTGTACGGGTGTGCGCGATGGGTCCATCAGGATCCAACACGTTACCCTTACCTTTCCTCAGCTACACGCCAGATTTACCGCCACCGGCAGTGCCAAGGATCGCCTCTGACCAAACGTGATCTTCGCCCCACGGTAATTCACCCATCCGGAATTGTGGCCTTTCTGCCGAAATTTTCATTTGCGGCACCTCGGCTTTTTCTCACCTTGTTTATTTACGACAAGTGTTTCGCAAATTGATTCTGAAACAGAATTTGTATCTACAGAATTTCTGCATTTCGTGAAAATGTAGGGATTAAGACCGGCATTCAAATAGTCTAATTTTATTTCAAAATCATATTATATAATATAATGCGGTTCTGAATTAATTTACGACTTAATCTTAATAAAATATTGTATTTAAGAATCAATTATGAATATTGGCCTGAAAGAATATCACCACCAAGTTAATCTCAGTTGACCCTGGCAAAAATAAAGATTGGAACATACTTAAGTTGAACGTAAAAGGAAAGTGGCAGAAGTTAAGTTTCTAGAAGGCGAAAATTGAAAATAAATACGTCTTTTATATCTCGTCGTCTCAATTTTTGCCTTCTAAAAACTTTGTTTACACTTCTTTCACTCTCTTCCTACATTCGATTTACACTCCGAGTTTTATTTTCACCAGTGCAAGATCGCCCTCTCATAATTAAGCTTAAATATTAACCTGTATAACGCAGCCATACATTGCTTACGTAGCTCCCAGTTACTTCTGTTTCAATCCCGAATCGGATTTAAGTTTCGTCTACAAAAGCATCGCGGTTTGTGGCTACATCCCCTCATAAATCTCCATAATCTGTGTCTTAATGATAAGTAAATACTACGCCCCGCGATACAAATGTTTCTACAGCGCACGCAACCTGTCAAGTGTTTAGTTTAGTTAAAATCCTTTATCTACCATAAATCCGCGTTTATATCCCTAATCGCCGGGGATAATAGCCACTTCTGTGATACCCTCGGTACAGCCGATGCATATGTTGTCCTTTGAGGGTGTCACGCACAATGCACGATATTATTCTTAATATTCTTTATTATTGCACTTATATCAGAAAAAATGCACTTGCTGTGTATTTTTTAAAAACTCACAATTCATATCGAAGACAAAGATTTTTAGAATAAAACAAAATGATGTAAGATTTTCTCTCAAATGTAAAAAAAACTGACATAGTAGCTTAACATGTGACTTATAAAATAAAATGTGTATTAAAGTCATCTTTTCAAAAATAATTTTAATTATCTTAATTTTACTTTTTCGTTTTTTTTTTATCGATAGAAAGGAAAAATGAAAAGATATATAGAAAGCTGCGGGAAATATAATTATAAAAATAATTGTGTGCAATGGGTCTCCGCCAGCTATAAGTGCCATGCCCTCATTACTTTCGTGACCGGATTCTTATATATGTATAATACCCGTACCGTTTTACTGTGGAGTATAGTATATACGCGCAGCGCGGAGACGTATAAAATTTTAAGCCTTCAGGTCTCATATTTTTACGAGCGACAGGAAGAAACGCGAGGAAAGAAACAAAACCACTCGCTGTCGGCAATTATACACAGTCTACACTGTTCGACCCCGCCTATTCACAGTTCTAATCTTCTGTGAGTTGACTGTCCGTATATCATGTTTTCTCGCGCGTTATTTTAAATTTATTTAATCGACTCTTTTACAATAATATCAACAGAAAATTATTTATTACTTCTGATGACTTCGTCGACGACTATACTTTCTCATTCATTCCAAATGGAATGAATGGGAAAGCGATTGAACATTATTCTCTTAGGCTGGTATTCATAGATCGTTTTTATTTCACAATCATCTTAAGCAATGTTTTAAGATACTAATAGAGTTCTGTGATTGGTTCATATCTTAAGACGATCTTAAATATCTTAAATATAAGAACCGACTATGAATACTTTAGAATTCCTAAGAAGATAAAATTTTACTATTATTATTTTAGGTGCAAAATGTCTTTAAAAATAATAACTGCAAAATTTCCATATTTCTGACTTGTTGTCTAAGGCATTCATTTAATAGCTTACTTTCGAAAGTTGGAAAATAACGCGTCACTTGAATTGCGTACATTTGTGTCGATGATATCCGACTAATCTTCCCGCACAATTTTGCCAATAGTACTTGTCGTAATATGTAGAGGCAAACGGACGGAAGGATACACCTCGTTGAAGTCACGGCATGAATATAATGAGAACGTTAAAGGCGGGATAGTCCACGAGGGGTACCATTAGGTCGTGTGCGATGACGTGTTGAGATGAAGTCGCGTGTAGCTCGTTAAATTCTTCGGCCGGCGAATGGAACGCGACCACGATTCTGTGAAATTGTGCGATC